GTTGAACACGAACAAAGCATAGGCTCATTCAAGCGCTGCTCATTTACACTCCTACAAGCGGATGAGTGGCATGACACTTATAGACAAAATGAGAAAAAAATATTTTCATGAAAGAGTTGGAGCAGCTCCACTGACAAATAAGATTAAAGAGAGTTGCTTTAGATGGTTGAATCGTATTAAATGTTGATCATTTCATGACTCTGTTAGTGCTCATTTACACCCCTACAAGCGGATGAGTGGCATGACATTTATAGACAAAATGAGAAAAAAAATATTTCCATGAAAGAGTTGGAGCAGCTCCACTGACAAACAAGATTAAAGAGAGTTGCTTTAGATGGTCGGATCGTATTAAATGTTGATCATTTCATGACTCTGTTAAGAACCAAGATGTTTTAGATTTTATTTATTTTAACACAGAGAGATATCTAAAAAGATTTGTGCATGTTATATTAAAAATAATCTTTGTTTATGAGAATTAAATGAAAGTATGACACTCAATATGACACAATGAAGAAACATGATTCACGTAACTGACCCCGCTACTTTGCAGGATAATAGTTTGTTGTTATTATTGCTGTAATAACCCCCGATTGGCATTCTTGTCGAATGCTTGCCTTTATATATATTTCTCTAAAATGAAAAGTGTAAAATATTAAAATAACCCTCAATTATTTACACTCGAGAGTTTTCTTAGGTGATCCGTCGCTTAAGATATAATTAACTATAGGAGCTTGCCCTTATAGGAAACTTAAAAGAACCCATATTTAAAATAAACCCTATTTGACTCCCATATCGAATAAGAGAATCTGTCGGTCATCATGCAAACTTGCAGATCAAACGGAAATCATTTATTTTTATAGTTTATTTATAGTTTATTTATAGTTTATTTAGAAACTGTGAGGAAGAGAAGCAGAGATACTCCTCTTCAATTTGAGAGATAGTCAAAGACACTATTGCACTAGTTGAGGTATATGGTCTCAGTGGTAGTAAGTGTCAAAGAAGGAGAGTCTAGGTTGTCGTGTACACTTAAAAAAATGTCTACTGTTTTAATCCAAAAATTTATAAAAATATTAAAATATTCTCCATATTCTTTTAATTAGGGTTGAAATGATCCCTATGAAATACTATTATAAGATTTATTTTAAAATAATCATATATATTTTGATTTTTTTTATATAAATTATAATATTAAGAGTTTTCCATAAAAATAACCCCTAAAATAAAATGTGCAAAGAATAGGGGGGGAAAAGAAAAAATCAAGAGTCTTCCCTACATAAAATAGTCTCATAGGGAGGCGGCGCGAGCGCTAATTCTCTTCTCCGGCCACCTAGCGGAGCAGTGGAGAGGGACGGGGAGAGATGGCCGTTCCCACCAGGCCCAACGGGATGGATGAGAACGAGGAGCTCGAGGATGGCCTTTTTGAAGTAGATGTTGAGGCGTGGGACGATTCTGACACCGACGTCCCTCGGCATCTCTTACCTCTCGCTCTCGCAGCCAAGAGTGGTAACGCTGACGCGCTCCGTGTTGCCCTTGGTACCGATCTCTTCTCGTCACATTCATCTTTTTTTCAGTTCTTCTGCATCATTTCCTCTCGTTAGCGACCCTTCTGCGCGAATCAATCGTCAATTTCATTCTCCCAATGCGAAGTTACCTTACAGTGTTGAAGATCGCTATTCTTTATGCGATATAGTTTTTGTTGTTGTTAAAGAAAGCATGATTGAGGTACAATTTGGGCTTAGATTTATGATTCGACATTTTAATTTTGTTCTTATTGAGTGCTGCATGAGGCGTTCAGATTATTCCGCAAGTCTTTTTTAGAACCCAAATTGTTTCTGTGTTGTCTTAACTAGTAAATATACTTTGGCAATGATTCTATGTATTCGTCTAATTAGGTGCGTTTTTATGGGTGTTGTACACGTCCAAACCTAGGTAATATTGGCTATTAGCTTGATTGCTTTTTATTGGTTTAGTGATGTCTAAGGAACTTGGATTGCAAGTTATTATGTCGGTATATTAGATTAAATTTATGAATTTGTATAGGGGTGTAGGGGGTGAAATTAATTAATGTTGAGTGTTAAATTTCTGTATCAGGCGGAGGATTAACATAATTATATCATATGGATGAGTAACACCTTTTAAAGAAAAAAACAATGAATAAAAGACTAGATACGTACTAGGATGTGCAACGATAAATGATTGAGTAGAATTAATTTGAAAGAATTTAGAAGGAAAATGTTTAGATTAAAGGAACATGGCTAGAAGTTGTTTTGAGAAGCCACACAACATGAGTAAATGAAGAAAGAGGTCATGCATTTTATCCCAATTAATTGGAATTCGGCTTATAGCGATGATAATTTTATGAGAGATGCATGTATGAGATATTTGATGAGTTAAATATATGTATGGGTGCACCAAGTGTTTCATTTGAAAGAATTTAGAAGGAAAATGTTTAGATCAAAGGTACATGGCTAGGATTTGTTTTGAAAAGCCGCACAACATGAGTGAATGAAGAAAGAGGTCATGCATTTTACCCCAATTAATTGGAATTTGGTTTATAGTGATGATGAATTTATGAGAGATGCATGCATGGGATATTTGATGAGTGCACAAAGTGTTGTATTTGAGATTTTGAATAAGACTCACAAAGAAAATATGTATTTTATCTATAGAAGTAGTTTGTCTCGATCCTTTGATATTGATATGTATATTCATAGGGTCATTTTAAAATATCAAAACAATCGATATAAGATTTTAAACTTTTACAAATTCAATATATACCTTGCTAGATGTATTCAAGCTATTTGTGAATTCATTATAGGGGGACAGAGGCACTTTCACTAATCAACTAATAAATAAAGGCCAACGAGAAAGAATAGAGTCTTCAGAGTAAGTTCTTCAATTGTAGGTCTTCTTAAGGATGCACATAGGGAGCTTGAGAATGAAAGAGGATGTGATGCACGACAATATGTAGTTGAGGGTTATGTTGTTGCTATTTTTATTTAATAATGATTAGGTTATTTGGTTTTATCTGGATAAGATTAGATTTATAATGATTATTTTTTACTAGGTATTGTTCATGGTTATCCTTTACTTGTTTGTGGGATTACTATTATGAATAGTAGTGCCTTTAGGATGCATTGTATTATCAACAAATGAATTGATTTTTTTTTTGATAAAAATAAGTATTGAAGGAGCGCAATATAATTTTTTGAAGTTTAGTAGACAAATTTGAGTAATGATTATATAATGTAATTGATCTATCTTAGGTGTCAATATTGTTTTTGGACCTATGATTTTCTTATTATTCTTTGATTTATTTGATAAAATAAAACCAAATAAAAATGTTGATTATCTTGATGCAGACTCTTATTATATAATTCTTTGAGACTTGGAGAATGAGGATCGATAAACTAGTAGCTTTATCTTTGATTATCTTGTTGATGCAGACTCTTATTATATAATTCTTTGAGAGTTGGAGAATGAGGATCGATAAACTAGTAGCTTTATCAGGTATGAATTGCGCATGCTTAATGTCATGTTTAATCTCATTCTTAAGTTCGAATTCTAGTATAGATCAAAAGAAAATTTGACTATGTGTAGATGTTGGCACAAGTGCACCTTTAGAGTCAACCTTGAATTTAAAGTCATTTAAATTTATGTTTGTTTCGTGCTCATAAATTCTCTGTGGTAGAGTGATATATTAACACCTTAATATTGTATGAAAATTCGACACACAGATTAAAATATCGACAGAAAAGAAAACACAAATTTTTACGTGGAAAAGCCGAAAGGGCGAAAACCACAGGGCCTGACGTAGTTTAATGATTCCATTATGTTGATGTAGGTTATAAAATTTTACAGGCCCTTGAATATTCGGAAATACTATTACACAAACGGAATGTGACTTTCTCTAATGAAGTGGCAGAAAATTCTGAGGAAGTGACGATGACGTGACTTTTGTGAAGAAAATCAGACAATAGGGGTCGTGTGCCAGAAAATCTACTGCTAATGTTTTTGGTAGCTACATCCAGATTGTTGTGGCTAGGAAGCGGTGACAGTGGTCTAGCGATGCTCGAGCAGCAGTGGTCGAACAATGGTGGGGACTCTGTCGGTAGCTAGGCAGTGGTGGTTCGGTGGCGGCTGTGACCAGATAATAGTGGTCGGGAAACGGTGGTTCGACAACTCAATGATGGCTGTCTAGCGGTGGCCTGTCAGCGGCGGCGGCGGTC